CATGGGTCCGAGTTGGTTTGGGTCCGAGTTGACTCGAAACCGATCAGTGCTATATTGGCCATCTGAAAGCAATAGTGTGTTACTAAAAGTCAAATTTAGCAGTGGAAATATTGAGATATTGTGTCAAATATTCCCAGTGTGTCCCGTTCAGTCTCTACTAAGGTATATCTACGGGTGTAGGAACCATGCTTACACCCTTTATTAAAGGTGAATAGTCGACGCCAACTTCTCCCGTATGATGCGTTGGTGCTCCCACCGTACACGTACATGTACGTGTGGGCTATATCACAAACGTGATCTCTGTCACAGAAAAGTTCCGAATCTGTCCCGGACTGAGATGAGAAAACACTCTTTCACATTTTCACACAGAAAAACAGGCCAATCAAAACATCGAGGACTGAATAAGTGAAAGGAAACCTACAACTGTAATAAGCTTCAGTCTAAATAGGTGTTCTTTTAAAATAAAATTTAGAAAAGTAAATGGAACACTCACCGTGCTACCGTGCAGGTGTCGCAAATTAAGTGGCGTTATGATGGCAGAAGTCATTCCACCAATATTGGAAGTACAGCTAAAAGAATTGCGCCCTCTCTTGGCTCATCGCTTTCTTAATGCCCTAGCTCCCGTGACAGCCGCGTTCAAAAATTAATCCATTATTGGGCTTTGAGAACAAAACAAAACCGGCCCGTGCCAAAAGCTTTTGAAAAGATACTTCTTTTGTGACAATTTGAGTCAGTTGCATGATTACCATCAGGTTTTCGATTCCCACGGTCCAATTTCTTCAATCTGAGTAGTGTCTTCTCGGCCCGGGGAGGACTCAGTTATGCTTATAAATATTTTTACCGAAAAACAAAACAGGTGCAGAAGACAGGATGTCATTAGATACGCTTTTAATTATCTATATTCAGCCAACACATCACGTTATTTCTGTAATATTTAGCAAATCTTTATACGTGTATATACGATTGCTTTCCTGTAACACGTTAAAGTCGTGAAGATGGTGGGATTGCGGGAAACTGATGGTGACGAACTATAGGAACTTAACTACCAAAGTGGAGGCATGTTATCGTTTGTTTAAACTGCCACCGCAAATTAAACTTTAAGCTTTGTAACTTACTTTTACGAAGACAAACACTGCATTGAACTCAAACTTTTTAAAACGAATTTCTCCCCTTCTCTTAACACTGCTAGTAATTATAAAAAAATTAAAATTAAACATTATTTTTATCTGTAATGCTGACTTGATACAAAATTGAAACAATTAACAAAATAAAAAACCACAATACGTTTCATTACACTCAATCTGAATTCTAAACTATGCATATTAATTTTTCAGCTGATTATTGAGCATAATTGAGCAAATGTTTGTATACATGTGGATATTCTCCACAAGGATTTTTATGGGATAATATTTTTATGGTCTAAATCAAAATGTAAAACACTACTATCCGATAACAAAACGTTAATTAATATGAAGCAACAACCTGACTAAATCGAATATTCCTTGAAACATGTCAAATGGACTCTAAAATTTTTCATCTCCCATTTACAATTATAACTAAACATGTGATGTCAAATTTACATAATTCATTATAAATCATATAGCATCTAATTAATTGTATGAGGTTTTATATTTGTTTTATGTTTTATAATTTCATTTTTTATGTTTTATGCAATCCATACCGAATTAAGTATTGTTATTAGTAAGATTCCGAACTAAAGACAGCTTCTTGGATAAGCATAGATCCTGACAAACATCAACTGAGCATATATTTTTGCTGTGGTATTTAGAAATAAAATGTCCTCGTCGCAGGTCACAGGAACACGATTATGAAGTATCGTGCGCAATGGGAAGAATAAGCTAAACTACAAGCAAGCCTATGAATAATGAAATTATTATTAAATTTCGTTTAAGTATTGCTGCAGCAATATCAAAATACACACTTCTTGCAAGATTCTTTTGGTTGTAAATGAAGGATTTTTTTCTCCAGTCATATAATGTTGGCATAACCATAGCTGAATCCATAAGTATACAAATTATTCAGAAATGCTAAGGAGAAAAGTCTAAACGTAGGTTGACAGGACCATCGTGAAATCACTTTAGAAGTTTATTTCCTGAAATCTGACCTTCTCTGACCATTTTTCCCGTATTTATAACGTACGTAAAGATTTTTTTCTGGGTAAAAGAATCATTAAAAATGTAAATCGAACACAGAATAAAACGCAGAAATAGAAAGAGCCACGTAATAATTCAAAGTGGCCTAACGCTTTAAACAAAACCTTGGAGTGCTTCACAAACCCTGGGTTTCCCATCCAGTTCACATCAAACAAATAATCCGGGACATCCCCTGCACTAGACACTTAAAAACCATACATTTCATGCGAAAATCGCGTCAGCCTGACACACACAGTGATCAAGGTGACCCAGCCCAGTAAATTCAGAACAATGGATGATGACGTCATGGTAGGAGCACAGAGAATAATACTCCAAATTCTATTCAAAAGCACATCTAGCCGCTGTAAATTCGACTTGCAGGTAATACTCCAAGCTAAATCACAGTATAGCAAACTGGGGAGAAATGAATTTTTTTGCTATGAAATTAAGGGAGTCAAAAGGAAGCATATGTTTGACCCCGTTGAGAATGCCAATAAGCTTGTTAACTTTAGAGATAATATGGTCAATGTGATGGGTCCATTTTAAATTACAATTGATGTATATCCCAGATACCTTAAACATGAAACCTGCTCAACATTATTGACATTTACATTAATATTATGTTGTCCATTTCTGGCAAGCCTTTGGGCTGAGCCAATCAGCATACAATTGGATTTGCTGGCATTCAGACAAAGTCTGTTATTACAGAGCCACTGAGAAATACTTTTCATATCTTGATTCTCTAGATATCTTTTATCTCGATTAAAAGGTTGATCGCAGAGGCATCAAAGAGTTGTAAAGCAAACAGTTATTGTAAATAATCATTGCAGAAACACTTGCTGACATCATCAAATTAGTTCATAGAGCACAGTCACACGCGATTTCAAAGGTGGGAAAATCTTTTAGGCACTTCATTACCGGTATCACCTCCATGAAACCTCCATTAGGCATCGTCTAACTCCTGCTTGATGACAAAGTTCTCGTAGACAGTCGAAGACACGTAAAGCTGTAAAATTAAAATCAAAATCATACTCAAAATCAAAATCAAGTATTTGAAGTATTAATGTGAAACTTTCCAAAAAAGAAAACAAATGAGTTGAAATATTTAAAAAAATATTTGTCTGAAATTCCTTCACAAAGTGAAACTGAATTTCATGCCGAAACGCGAAACACCACTTGTAGGGGTTGAGTTTCACCGTCGGCAATGAAACCGCAGTTCTCTTTATTATACATATTTTTGCAAGCAAAATTCATCTGAGATCCTCAAGAACATACAGTCTTCAGAGGGATATTAATACTAAAAATGTTAAAAAGTTTATAAGTTGATTCACAGGTGCTTCTTCGCAGTAAATTCTGATTCAGATTGATCGAATTAATGCTTGATTATTGCACCTACGTTTGCGTCCGATCCAAAAGTCATTTCCTCTAGAATCTGGACCAGTTTTCCGAAGCTTGGTCGATTACTCGGTTCTTCCTGCCAGCAACTCAACATCACGTCGTAGCTTGATAATAAAATCGAGAATAAATACCGAGGATTAATGTACGACTACATTATCTATAACAAAGAATATCACGTAGGCCTATTAAGTTGAATTGATAAAAAACCAATCTCACTTAAAACTGAGTAAACTGACTTTTATAGTGGCAACGGAGTCGATTCCAGGGTAGAACTGTGATTGAGTACATCTTGGAAGGGTTAGTGTTGAAATGCCAAAGATCGGGGCTACATCTGTAAGCGGAAAGTTTGAAGTTTTCCTTACATATCATCGGCGCAGTTTTCCGGTTTGGGCATGCGGTATCCATCTAACAGTATTTGGGCAAGTGACTTGCTCTCAATCCCGGGGTACGGAGTGGAGCCTACATAGGAGAGAGCAACATTACCGATGAATGACTTTAGTCGGTAACGATAGAGTCAAAGGCCTAATGAAGTCTCAACATTTATTAGCATTCAACCATGACTGTTACACAGAACCAGATTTTATGTAAGACCTATGGGTACCTACCGTGCGTCACGATCTCCCAGAGTAGGATGCCAAAGGACCACCTGTGAAGGGTGCAATGCATAGAGTAAAATATTCACCTGGTGAGAAGGCACTGTCTGGTGTTCCTTTAGTGCAATTTTGAAACTAAATAAACTGACTCCAGATGCACAGCAAAAGAAGTCATGACTCCTGTTCAGTATTCGAAAACAAAAACACTTAAAACGTCAAGAAACACTGTAAATAAAAACAATCGCGCTTGATCCGATTTGAACCAAGTATTCATCTAAATCGCACCGTATACATGTATCTTAACCAATGCTAGAAAAGACGACGAGACTTTCTAATGAATGATTTGCGGTTATCCTGACGTTTTTCTCTATGACGTGTCTTAGTTTAGTGTTCTTTCAAAAGGCAGATCTCGTGGACGGAACTACAAGATTGTTCCAGGGATAAACTAGTTATCATCATCATAGGGTCAATTGTATTCTTCGAAAACTTTCTTAAATTGAAAGTCCAGTTCTCTCCAACTTTTCACATAATAAAGTGTCAGCTTTGACTTACACATCACTCTTGGACTTGTACACTCTAAGTGTCAAAGACTCCAGGGCCAACCAGCGAACGGGAATCCTGGTCTACAGAAATAACAGTACCGGTGCATAAAACCATAGTTACCAACATAACTAATCATGAATGGCGGACTTAAAAAATTGAATAAAAAAACTTTTCAAAGCGTAAACAATGTTCTTATTTTAAAATTTACCTCATTTGAGAGACTAAGATCATGATTTTTATTACCGAAAGGCTCAATTTTTTTTACAACCACTGAAGTCTCGTCCTGATTAGCAACTTTACCGAAGAGTTTTGAACATAGACGTCTTGTCCTCTTGAAAGGCCAAAATCGGAAACTTTAGCGGTCATGTCGTCAGAAAGCAGTATGTTCCTTGCAGCCAAGTCGCGGTGAATTATCTGAAAAATTGTCAAGATGATAATAGGCTCATACTGACATTACTCACAGAATAAGCGAGAGAGCATTTTGGCGCTATGACACCAAAGACGTATGTAATAATCACAGACTATATAAACTATTTACAGTAATGTTTTCAAGCAGCTACGTAAAGCAAGATATTCAAAAAGGTTCCATTCCACTTTTTCTTTATTTATACACGGTTTCAAAATTTTATTCACCAAGCAATGTCGCAAGGTGTGTGTATTTACCTCTGCGTGCCTTGTATTCCCGAGTCTAATGCGTAACTTACCCCAGTCACCGATAGGTGCTCCATTCCCTTGGCAACGTCCAGGCCAAATTTCAGAAGGTTTTCCGAAGTCAGCGTTGACATCCGCTTTTTAGAGTTAGCTGCCCCTTGATTTGGTCTGGTGTTCCTAAGGTAATCCCGCAGGTTTCCAGTAGGAAGATACTCGAGTGCCATGTACAGAACCCCTATCCACACAATAACAGTGACAATAACTTCGGCTACATCTAATTTATCGAAGAAAATGTTCCTAAAATTACCAACAATTTACTCATAGCTTTCCAAACACATTGGCCGCTGATCGTAGCTACAAAGCCACTCAGGGCTTAAGTTCTTAGAGCCTTTGAAAGGTTTCTTTTGATTTTAAAGCAAGTTCTGAAAACAAGAAAGCAATTAAGAGAGAAGGTGGAAATTTCAAGTACCTTGTTGGAAGCATGCGCCAAGTAGACCAACCACATTAGGGTGTGGCTTGATCTTCGTCATTGTCTGAAGTTCCTTTTTGAAATCTTCCCAGGCAGTTTCGGGGGCAGTCTCTGTAAGCAAACAATAAGATATGATTGAATTACTCGATGATATAACACAATTCTCTTCAACATTCCCGTACAAAATGCAGAAATGAAACGTTTCTTTTCGGTTTATTCGTAAGGTACATGTGATGCAAGAGGGGAACAATGAATGATCTGGGTGCAAGCTATAGTCGGGTAACACGTATAGGGTTTACACTTTGTCACCGCATATTGCATTTATCTAATTAGTATACTGGTTTCGAAGTCCTACCTTTCAGTGTTTTGATTGCTGCTTTAATGACTTTGCCGTCCATCTTGACTCCCCCTGCACGCACCTCACCAAAGTTGCCAGTTCCAAGAATCACATCTTCTACGATAAAATCCTCCCATCTGATTTCATAGGCAGACGCCCAACTTGGAAGAAGTCCGATATCTTCATAGTCGTCTTTGTCGCTGTTGCCCGCATTGTCAATGTCCACAGTCGGTGTGTCAATTTCCTTAGGTTTGGGAGTAAGAGCCTCACAGAGAAGAAGGAAACGAAACAGAGCTTGCAAATAAATGTAAGAATCGGGTTTTGTATTTTTTTTTATAGTTTTCAGTAAATTTCGATACTTTAAACACGCAACGCAAAATAAAAGGTGTCAAATACTTTCCTGAAACCTACCACTTGGACATTTTCAGGGGCCCGGAAACGTGCTTTCCGTCTTTTCCACACGATGAGGATGGTCACAATAAACACCACTAGGACACACACGATGACTCCTAGTGCAACAGCAGTGGTAGTTGGTCCCGAATTGGCTTGTTGAACTTGAAACAATAACGAGAGGTTGAATAGCATGCGTAAAACTGTTTATCTTAAAGCAGAAATTTCAATAAACATTATTCTTGCCTTTTAGAAATCTTACCTCTGACGGTCAGTGGTTCTGAATGTTCCACATTGGCTTCCTATAACGTAAAAAATTACAGCGTCAAGTGAAATTTACGTCTTATTTTATGAAAAAAAAAAAGTTGAGAAAATTGTTTATTTATGTCCTTATCAAAAAACGAAGTGGAGTTACAACTTCAAAGCTTCCATGGAAACTAGACAATTATTTCAAACAAGTGCGCATGACATCAAACGTACGGGATGCATTTTTGTGGAGGCGGAATTTGTATTCACTTTAAGACACCTATAGATCAAGTTAAGTACCGTCTTACCCATATAGGTCTATTTTAAGCTCTAATACATCCATACAAATTCCAATTTTCCATACGGATGCTGTTCTTTGCTTTTCATATAGAATGCATATATACCGTCTCGTTGCCCCTGCTGACTGATCCAACACGAATGTTGTACACAGCGCCCCTCTGTAGCGGTGCGTTGTAGTAGCCACCGTACAGTTTGGCGTCCCCCACAACAAATCTATCGGGCACGCCCCCTTTGGGAAATTCAGCCGCAATGTAGTCATCCGGGGAATCTTGGAAATGTTTTGGAATGAGAACATCCCTCTTAGTCACAGGTGAAGACCTAGCTTTCTTAACTTGAACAACGTACGATCTGCATTAAAAACGAATAAGTTGCTCTTTAGAATGCAAGTCAAAATACAAAAAGGACATTTTTAAACTGCTCTGGAATTTTGAACCTAATACTCACTCGATGAATTCGTCTCCAGGTACCGCCCGAATTATACCAATAATGGCCGTAGTGTCTGTGGCATCGTCTGGGTATGATATCGGTTGCGGTGGTGCAGGGAGAACTGTGTTTGAAATGAACGGTGCGTTCTTTAAATTGGTGATTCATGTATTTCAAACATACAGCATTTTCTCGAGTCAAATTCCACATGCAGGTATAGGCCTATGTCACGTAATGAAGCAGCAATTAAACGTATGCATTTTTTGACCTATAACAAAATCGAAAATTTCTTTATGCATTCCTGGTGTATTTTTTAAAACTTAATTTCCTTTTTTAAGTTTCTCTTCCATGAATAGTTTGGCCATTAGCTGTCAGCTTATCACATTTGTGATTACTTAGGATCAAAATGTAGACAACAGCAGCTTACCTGAGGATGGTTTGGTATAAACCTCCAAAATTTGGCCGGGTCCAATAAACAACTCATTCTCAACAGACACTCTGAACTCATACTTTGTTCCAGGTTCTAGATTTTCTGTCCGGAATGAAGCCCTCGGCACTTCCTTCCTGATGTATTCATCAGCAGGGGTAAAATCTGGTTGATAAGGTTTCTCTAAGACTCTGTATTCAGCCTGGTAATGTGAACATGGCTCGCATTAATGTACGCTTGAATACTCAGATAACTAGAACTACCGTAAGTTAAGGCTTCATGGAGAGTCCATCCTCCACGGTTTACGTGTTTAACCATTACTGTGTGAATAATGATACGTGTTTGACTGTCATTTGCTGTGATTGATATTTCGAATGACTAACATGGTCGCGAGCAAACTTCCTTTCTACTCAAGCTTTAAAGTTTCTGATAAGTATTGATACGTGAATACTTTTTGTAGGCCATGGGCAACAGAATTATCCATTTCTTTGTTGAGCACACTTATCACTATCGTATATGCTTTCAATCAAACGTAACGAATGATAAAATACTTGCCACGTAGTTTTGGATTTGTCCATTAGGGCTTATTGGTGGTTCCCACTCCAAGGTGACTTTTGAATTGGTTCTGTCAGTCCATCGAAGATTCCGGACCAGACCAGGCACTAGAAAGCAAAACGAAAATAAAATAAAAACAAAAGAAATCCCACTAGTAGGCCTAATTGTTTGGCGTAAAATCGAATCTTGAAAAAATGCATGACGTACAGGAGCTCAAGATGTGTACCAGAATACTGGCCTGCCAATTATCCAGGCCGATTCAGAAGGTGTTTTAAATCCATCCATTCTACGAGAACAAACTCATAAGACAACCACAAAGCGATTCACGTTTGAATAATACCTCCAATTCGGGTCGTTGCGTTCACTGCATTACTCCAAGGTCCTGCACCAACTAACGTCTCAGCTTGTACCTATTAGTTCAGTCAGATAATGACGGACAGATATGAACACTCTCGTGCAGTCCAACCATTCATTTTGTTCCGAAAACAGTGGGATAAGTAAAGGATTGGAAATCGTTGCTGTTGAGATGTATTGGGGAGAATTCTTCCTTAAACAAAAGCTCTCCACCATAATGAGTTCAAAGTTTGAAAGACAAAAGCGTTTTAAGACCTGCATAAAGTAAGTAACATTCTTTTCAAGACCCGTGATGAGGTACATCAGTGGCTGTAAGTTACGATCAACCATCTGGCTTCCTGTCTGTCCACTCCTCCAGTAACGAACGTTGTAATGGGTGATGATTCCTTGTGGAGGGTTGGGCTTTGACCACTTGACTGTGATAGAAAACTCGTCCACATTCTGAATGGCGACATTTAGAGGAACCGTAGGCTCTGATAATAAAAAAAGTGTTCAATGTGATCTGTACACATTTTTTTCCAATCATTTACAGCTCAACTATTTCCAATTCACCTTCATTAAAACGTGATTTACCAGACTCCTTGTCGGGTTGTTTTTGGAAAACATGCACAAATGTGGATGATCTTGAATGGGATTTTTGGGGGATACTAAATCAATAAATTTGTCTCGCAATTTCTGAATACAAATTTAGAGAAGACGTAAATTTGTTTCAAGATTAATGTTAGATTTATTGTACCTGCTTCTAGAGTACCAGCAATCAGGCCAATGCTGTACGGTCCATCTCCTACACTGGTGTAGGCTAAGACCTGAAAACTGTATTTGGTGTAAGGAGTTAAATCATCAACGGTCGCCGACTCTTTTGAAACCACAGACAGTCGTACTTGAGCGTTTGATTCATCTTCAGTTAGCCGGTATGTGTAACCAATGATGACGCCACCTCGTCCCCCACACGGTGGCTGGCTCCAGGAAAAACTCAGGCTGCGCTGAGCTGTTAAAGTAACGGCGACTTGTGCCGGCGGTTCAGACGGTTCTTGATATAAGAAAAAGGTTGTTAATTAATTTCGAAGACGAAACGAACGCGAATTCATTCAAACCGTAATTGTTTTAGCATAGAGTCAGATATGTCAAGGCTGTAGGCATACACTACTGAAGGCAGAGGTTAACTTCAGATTAACTCACCTCTGGGGCCAGTTACAACGTCTGCTTCTTCTGCTAGTCCGTAATTTCCATCCAAAGAAGCCCTGACTCGTACCTTGTACATCGAGTTAGCCGTCAGACCAGATATTACTGTCACGTTCGTTCCCGTACACATGCAATGCAGTGAATAGGTAACTGGGCTGAAGGGTTCGCAATGGTCTCTGTCACCCAAACCGTACTCCACAGAGTAAGTGGCACAATTCACTTCACGCCAGCTGAGTGTTACACTGACGGAATCGTAAGAAGTAATCCTCACAGGCGAAACGGAGAGATCTAAAAATAAATTGAACAATCACATGAGCATATCTGCACTATGTGCAATTATAAAAAAAAAGCCTTTCCGCAGGTCTAATGAAGTTCTGAGTTGCGACAATGCGATTCACTAAGATTCACTAAGATGATGCTTCAAGCCAGTCATCCGAACCAAAATCGTACTGATTTCAGCTGTTAATTACCATTACAATAGGCCTCCAATACCGATAAACAGCAAAATGATCTAGCAATTTAGAAATAGTGGGCTTATAGTTCCACCATTTGTCCGTTGCTCTGCTTACTCGTTTGTCTTAGCGTGGTTCCAGATGTTGACACCTCAGGCCCTTGTGTGCTACTATATTGTGGGAGAATATAAACCATATAGGTTGAGTGATCCTCTAGACCAATTATGACCTGACTAGTAGTCTCTGCATCGAGTGTATTCGGAAACACTACCCGCTGCGGAGATTCGATCTTTTCACACTGCCCTCTGTTTGTCAATGCATACTCCAGTTTGTAGCCGGAGACACAGGGATCTGGTTGCCAGGAGACAAACAGCGCACGTGGGTCGTTTGGAATCACTTTCAAACCCAAAACGATATTCTCAGCTGAAGGTAAATAAAGCGCAAAATGATTAAATTGATAAGTAATTAATAAACAAAACGAAAACTCTTAAAAACTGAAAGTTGTTTTACCGCCAAGGGTTGTATCAATTCCAATAAAGGACTCGTAGAATAGAAAATCTGATGTCTGAAATGACACTGGAAACTGAAAGGTATACGCATATGTAATTTACTTTTCCATCTGTAAAAATCTTATAGTTTTACCTTATAAAACTTGCTCTTTGGGAAACAGACATAGAAACACCACACTAACAGACATCAAATAATTGTCCTAATTTAATGGATTCTGTTATTTACCTGAACACTGGCAGTTTCTTCCAAAATATGAAGTAACACAATCTAGTGGAAAAGAAAAATGGAAACCTTACTCTCTCTTCGTGTCGTTGTATACTTTTATGTTATTTTAAGTAATTCATCAGGATGAGTTAAAACACAGTTAAAAAGTTTGTCCACATTTATAATACCGCACAGACAAATGTCATTGCTGTTTAAAGTTCCTTTAGTTCCTCCATCGACAATGCCTATGATTTAGGTCCGCCTATCAACACAAAATAGTTTTGAAGCTATGATCAAACTATGGAAAAGTCCTCCCTCTTTTGCGGGAAAAGGTTTACTTCCTAGTCTTAATGCGTTTGATGCTCATAGCCAAAGTTATTGAAGCTAGATCTCTATTAACAAGTTTCACCATACAATCAATTATTTCCCATACTTCCCGAACACTCTCCCGAATCCTTCTCACACGTATCTCCTGGTGAACAGTGACATGTCTGCTTGCAGCTAGCTCCGTATGTTCCGTCTTTGCACTCTAAACAGAAAGCCACAATTTTGACGCAACTGCATTAAACTGCAAAATTACGCTAATCCCACGGGCGCCATAACTGCGGTGGCACCTCATTCACACGCACTTGTCAGTTAGTATTTGGTAAATGACGACACCCACGAACCACGACATGTAACGCTCGCGTACATCACCTGTGCACGAGCGCTGTGCCACCTCAGTAATGGCTTCTAATCCTGGTCGCTACATTACACTTTGTGAATTCAGTCCTAAGTGATAGAATCATAAATACGTGAATTGATTATATGTAGGAGCGGTTTCACATTTTGGATTAATATCAATTCCCCCTAAATGTGCCAAATTTTAGTCATGTTAGAAAACTATTTTTGAAAATGTGCAGATACTTATGAGCATCAAGCAGAGAACCGAGCAACTCACAGCCCCCTCAAAAATTTGTTCAGGCCTACCCTGCATGCAGTCCATTCCGGTATACCCAGCAGCACAGGAACATCCGTACGGGTCAGGAAGACAGAACAAACGACCCCGGCAAGCATCGTGGTGTGGGTCAGGGCTGTCAGAGCAGGTGTGACCGGCATCCTGGCCAAACACGTGACGCCCATGAACTAAACGTGTACCAAATGTTCACATTAAAACAACGTCTTCTCACTCTCTAAATTCCAACGACGTAGCCTTGAAAACCTTTCATATTACAAACCCATAGTGCAATGTATAAATTGCGTGTGATGAAAAGAAAGCACATACCGTTCTCGCAGTGTTCTCCGCTAAATCCTGGACCACAAACGCACCTTCCCGTTAGGTCTTCGCAGATACCTCCGTTGTAACATCGACGACAGACAGATTCACATGACGGTGGGCCCCACGTGCCGTCAGTGCATTCTGTAATGTTTTCAGATTACAGGCACCTAGAATATACCTTTGGCTCAGAAACATCACTACAAAAAAATTTCTCTCTCACGTCCTGAATTTGCCTCAAAATACTTGTCCTGCATTTGGCACGTTTTTACGCTATAGCACGGCAAGGGATAACTACCTCTTACGATGAGTCTCATGAATCCATGTCGTTGTTGATTCTCTTGACCATCAGCGAAGCAGCTGTATATTCCCTCGTCAGCCTGGGTTACGCTCACAATGGACACGCTCAGCATGCCGTCCCAAATCGGCATGTCGATTCCGTTACGCTTCCATCTGTAGTTGGTGTTGGGTGAGTTCACGTCTTCCATCTGCAGTATGATTGACTCGCCAGTACTTACTGTCTGCGTTCGCTGAAGTGGACTTGTGTGAATAATATCTGATCCAAAAACATTAGCAATGAAATATCTAAACAATGACTACCTTAACCTTCCGTGCCTTAGGGGGGCCTACCTCCGAACCCGCGCTGTCGTATGCTTGTACGTCGCCTCCTTTTCTCTATTTTAGATAAGATTATTAGGCCTACTCGCTAACATTCTCTCCAGTAATAATAGCTCTTGTAATTGCTTCTCAATTGCCTTGGAAAGCAGTCTGATTTTTTAGGAACAATTAATCACAATAATCATGCACTCAGCATTTGCACTCAACACATTGCATAATTTTTGCCAAATCATCATCATCCTAGTCACAAATTTCATGTTTACTCAATACGAATAGCTCCTGATTGCTTGTGTGTTGAAGTTTAGTCAACTGTACCATCTGTGGGTAGAATGATGCTTCGTATCTTGGTCATCACGCCATTTCTATTTGCAGTACTGTAGAAGACGCCTGTTCTATCAATCCCGCCTGCTTCTGGTAAGCTAAGCAACCTGGCTTTACATCCCAAACTGGCATCGTAAAATCCAACAGCTCCTGTAGGTAGATGGTCATTGCTCCCTCCTGTTGTCAGTTGACGGCCAAAGGAGACTGCAGCTGCGATATCAGTGGGACTTTTGTACGCTGCTAAGGTAGAACCATTGTTGCCGGTGGGGCCAAGAACAGCAGGACTGGCAACCAGAGTAACATCCACTCTTCCTGATGGAGAAATAGGTGTGAAATTCATTGTTTTGTCATGTACATTCAAGTTTGGTGGTTAAAGGTGATCTGGGAGTTGACGGAGATGTGGGAGATAACGTTTGTAGGAGGGTCTAAATGATTTTGTTGCGACTATATTCATTTAAACCAAAAGTTGAAATCACAACTACCGATCGTTTTTAGGAAACACGGCATCTCTTTTTAAGGCATGGTGCGTGCCAATAACTGTTTATCATATTCGACATTGTTAAGCCAAACGTCCTTTGTAAAATTGACCGTCTTGTAGATTTTTGCCCAATGGAGACTTTCATTCGGCAGTTGTAACATGAAATACCGTACCCAGGTCCCTACATAACCCCTACGCTAATTAGAATAACGTCCATATTCTTTCCAAATGTCACAGATCAGATGAAACTATCGTCTTTAGAAAATAAGGGTTTCAGTAGCACAGAAGAATCAAGGTGAGGCCTCTGTAAAGAAATCTTGGCTGTAGTTTTTGTTCTGAACGATATTGAATTATTTCTCCAGTATACAAAAAAAGAAAATTGACCGGAGAGATTATTTTGTTATTAGAGGGAACAAATCAAGCTAGCCACCTTCTACCGAATGGTTGGTTACTAAACAAAAGTGTCACAATGTGCAATAGAATGTGTAGCATTTACAGAAATGTAACAATTTAATTAAACGAAAAGATCTCCGGTTCGAGCTGGATTTTTAATATACCATCACCTTTCTTTTAAAGGACACGTAGAAAAAAATTATTGAAAATAATGACGCTGAAATTCAACGAAGATCAAGGGTAAAAAATCGGCTTGGGTCAGAGTTTACTGTCCTACCTGCGACACTGGAAGTAACCTCAAGGTCTTGGATTTCTTCAACCATGACTTCAGCCATATGAAGGCACTTATTTCTGTCACCATCCCCATTCAGTTGCACACTGACGTATCGAGCGGAGACGACTGGGTCTACCATGAAATCAATCACTGCTCCATCCGTAGCTTGACTCGAGGAGACTGATCCTATCCTTGTGTTCTGTGAGAAGTCTGATGAATCCAAACCGGCTCGCACTACAGCACCTGCCAATCTCCACCCTGCATGCGCAAATATCACGGAATACGAAAAATTTAGTAAGTTCCCTGGAAGTTTTTGAGGGAAAGGATACCACATCCCACTTATCTTATAGGCAGTATATTGAAATAGGACAAATAATTTCAGAGAAGTCACGGATCCATGATTTTTAAGACATTAACTGCTAAGTAAAAATCTTGGCACATGAAGCCAAAATTTGCAAGATCGTTGTTGTTGTCGTTGTTTTGTTTTGTTTCATGTACAATGAATTTGAATTTTCCATGCAAAAACAGTGGCGTCATTAGAGCTCAATGCCTTGTGTTTTGGAGGGGAGCCCCAATAGGTGTCTTTTTATGCGCATGTAAGAATCGACAATGGTGTTTTTTCTTCCCTACAATCTCGAACGTTTTAACTTATAATTATTCCATTTGGGAAAATCTGCCGGTAGAGGGGCTGTGTTGCCGGAATTACCCGACAAAAGCAGACATTTGCTAAATCAGAATAATAATGAAGTTTTTAAGCAGTTACCAGAGGGTGCAATATCATTCGCTTATACAACTGATGGTCGAAGCATTGAGAGATGGAGATGGACATTCAAAAACAAACAAAACAAAAAGTTACTCCCTGCTGCAGTTCTGAATGAGAAAAGATGATACTAGAATTACTAATTGAAAAGGCTTTTAATATCCCCTCCCAAGACATCTAGCCCGATCCCTCTTCCCCCAGTTTGAGATTCCTAGCTGCGCCACGCTGGAATAAATCCATGCATGGAAAGGCAGCTAAAAGGACATGCTCATGAAAACTGCCAATTCAAATCGATCTGAAATGTTGTCAACGGCAGAGAGCCTCGAGGCCAAGCATGCACAATCGCTGAAATCATGTCAAAAACTCAAACGCAAAGTACAAGAGTAATGAGAATCTTACCGTAGCCGTTTCTCCTGTTAACTATAGTGATTTTCGTCAGGCAATAGATCTCCTGGAGGTCCACCTTCCACCACTGATGTCCACCGCACTCTGAGAGAGAAATACACTTGGAAAGATTGTCGGCTTTATTTTTGAAAGTGGATGATAGGAGAGCTAGGGTATTTAAATTTAGCTGTCTTTATAAAGTTTCTTTCAATGTCTGTTCGATTCTAAATGTTCGAAGCACACTCAATACACCAAACATATCCAGCATCTCCTTTAGATCCAGCACGTTGAATGCAAGCTTTCACTTCATTTTACGTCAATTTTATTGTAAGGACGCGATGTTGTTCTTCACGCGTAAAAAAAAGCTATAAAGCTGTCATTCTATTTTACCTACGCGTCCGAATGAAACCCAAGCAAACACTGCACGCTTAAAGGTAGTAACCACATCATTTTATCCCATGACAGCTGGACCAGACATTCCATTAAAAGGTCTATTTTTAACTTTGGGGGTAAAATCGTTGACTACTTAACGAAGTACGATTGCGCTTTAATGATGCGTAAAAGCTGGTTCATATACAGAGGAAGGTGACAGAGAAACGATTTTGACTTCGCGAAAAATGTGCAGTAAAACCTCGCTCGAGTTGAAGCTATTGGAACTAAAACTGTTTCGTGTGCAACTTTTGCGAATTCGCAGAGCGTATATTTGATCTGACGTCACGAATTCACGTGTTTTCGTTTTCACTGAAGTGTCCGTCGCAAAGGCGGACGCACCACGGTTTGTAAGCTTCCATTAGAAGATCGCTGAAGTTGCACGTTAACTTCCGGTTTCATTGTTCTATGTAAACGACAATCAATACATTTTGTGCAGTGCATGTGCGGTGGGCGTGGTTTAAACTGAAGTGACGTCACGCTTACGAACCGGATAATGAACCGGCCTTAATACTTTATTACTGACTACATTGTCTATTAATTATACTGACCAGGGGAAATCATGGCCACCTGTTACTAATGAAAGCTTTGTGAGAAACTTTCTTGAGCCATTTCATTTCCTGTTTTCCCGCAAAATTTCCTGTTTTCCCGCACAGTTCAACGACCCCAAAGTTTGGTTATTCTCTAAGAAAGACCATAAAGCGTAAAACACGTGGGTAACCCCCCCCCGGCCTTCTATTCCATTGGCTCTGGATCCATCCTTGCAGCAGACAAAATTTGTTCAAAACGTTTTCTTTTATGATTGTCTTTTACTTTCAGCGATTGTAATTGATTAAACAAAGAACCTACTTGTGTGTTGAATAGTGCCGCGATCACCATCTACTGCTCTTTCCGGATCCCCTTCATTACGAAAGGTACTACTTTGTTCGGTTGGTTTGCCATGGAGGTCGATGGCCATACCTGGAATGAAGAACCGAAACGTGGTAACTAAAGTGCAAGAGGAGGAACTGAACACCGAAAAGCCTATTGTAGGCTAAGATATATTGACAGTGGTTTTATTTATGTCTTCATCGGACTTACCTTCTAACTCTGAAAAGTGTGGCCATTTTGAATTTACATTTGGAAATTTGTCTATAATAAAATGAAGTAAGTCCAATCAAATGCAGTCCACTTTTACTTGATTTTGACTTCCGTAGTGAAAATGCCTGACCAGCAGTATTTTATGCACGGTTATTTTCCGGAAGAAGTTTGAAGTTAAATAAAACGAGTACCCAGGAGAGGGTACAACACATAACATTTATTGAATATCCATAATGTCCCTCGCTACGCATCTATGAAGTCTTTTGCTTATTCCACCGTGCTTACTCACTTAGAACGGCTATTCCTTTCTTGTTTAAAAAAATTCAGTCAAATTTATAAGGAATGACTCATATTTGTACAACTTGGTATCCATATCTTTCGGGGGAAAAATGGGAATTTTATTTTAAAAAAACACAGTCCAAATAACCATTTCCATCCGTAAAAGCATCTGCACCCCGAGACACGCGGAAAAGCCGTTTTTGCTGTAATGGGGCTTCCATATAAAAAAAAATTAAAAATTACATAAGCCACGGGAATGACAATTTGTCAGTTATTAATACCTTATTTAGATAGGGCAGTGTTGTTTGAGCACGTGATTCCACTATGAGCCCCCTACAAAAATGCCTGCTCGAAATACAAGTGATTGTTATAATCATTCCAATTCGCCACACAAGTGATGCCGAAGTGTCAATTAAAGTTGAAATGCATAGAAAAGAATTTAAAATAGAGTAGAAATCATTCCTTAGAATGTAATGTTCTTCTCTTTATTTTTTTCCAGTCTACTCAAGTTCCACATGAGAGTTTTTCATACACGATTCCACCTCTGCTTAAAATACAGCGCCAAGAGGTGGATCGAAGTAGCTTACTACGAGTAAATTCCACATCGTGCTGATCTTGACAGTTTGATTGGAGGGTTAGAGACAATATAAGCTAAAATCTACAGGATTGGAAAGCATGACCAGATGCCTAATACTAAAATGTGGACAAAGACATGAGAACTCATCTTCATTAGAATAGATTAAAAACGATGCTAAATCAAATGAAATAATTATTGACAACAAAAATATCACCTTCGCCAAATGGGTTTCCGTTGCTGCTTATTATGTTTTGGCAAGTCTGTCCGTTTCCTTAATGTATGTCTATTGACTAAAAATGACACAAATCTACTAGTTTCTCCTTGTGCTGACATCCATGTAAAAAATTAACATTACCTCCGTTAAGAGAGAGAAACACGAACACAGCCGATATCCACAGGGGGAGGCGTTGGACGACTCCACGATGAAACGTCATCTCTACTTTAGTTCTTAAACGCTAAAAAAATTTGTCAAGGCAATGTAAGCCCGTTTTCACGGTGGAAAGTTGATCAGCTTGGGAGCGGATTAGCTCACAGCAGTTTCACGGCCTTTTCACGTCAACATCTTGGTAGCTGATGGTCCTATTGTTATTCATAAAGTACACCGGTCCAGCTTCCCACCGTGGAAGGTGTGAAAACAGCGGTTAACTGTCCAAGCGTAATAAAAGATTAATATGATAAACATTAATATGATAAACAGCCAGGAATTAGTGCAGCAGTTACCAACAAAAGGAGCGATTGAATACCCCTGTTTTGGTCTGGAGTGTTAACTCCTCGCTCATCATGAACTCAACGGACCGTACTGCAGCAAGATCCACTGTCGCGTCAGCCCTTGACACTCATGCCTCATGCACGCTCAATCTTAACGATGCTCTGCTGGCACGGGGCCACTAAAAATTAATTGAGCCACTGCATTCTCCAAAATCCATGGCCCAACCAGCAGTGGTCATTTGAGGAACACTACCACATCTTTAAAGCTTTCCTCACATTTTATGACTCGTGTTTTAAATCACCGGCGCAGCACTTTCAAGTTCACGGTATAATTCCACAACCTGAACAGTTGTGTTTGCCTGCTTAATGTACGAGGCTCATGTGCTACATGTAAACATGTAGCTAGCGCGCGGCGCGACTGTTCATTGCACGGTCGACAGTCGTGCATACGGCACATACTCTTGTAAATGACCTGAGTAGATGTTGGCTGGTATAATTTTCTAACAATGCCAGTTTACTTATATTCCTTCCCAGTTTATATATATTCCTTCGCATGGTGCTACCGCAAGCCTTTCCACCTATTGCTGTCTTTCTCACCGTGAATAGCCTGAAATTTCATCCAATGCCAGTTTAACGTCCTCTCCCACGGACACCAATGAAACCTTTAGTGAGGTCGTGTCGTGTTGCACCTCAGGCCGATCAAGCAACATATATGTAGCCTCAAATTAAATTTGTGAACACAAAAAATACGTTACACATTTTATATATCCAACTAATCAAGTTCTGGGAAGTACACGTAACTTGTACTTACTGCGAAATCAGGTTTCTATGTGCAGCCACTTAGAGATTTGTGTGTGTACAGTGAATTGCACAACACTATTTTAAAGCATGGACTGGTTGCCGCGTTGCCATCACACCTTTTTAGGCAGTAGCACGGCGCAGCGGGAACCAGCGGAAACCTTGCATGAAGCAATATTGCGTGTTTTTCGAAACCGTGATAGCGAAATGCGAAGGGAACTTATGAAAACCACAAAACTTTCTTTCCACATGTTGTGAATGTAAAGCAGGTGTTTTGTGAAGACAGGATCCTGTCTTTCCTGGGAAAGACAGGATTGATTTTTCCTTTTTTGAGCTGTGAGAAGAGATGGATACACGTACAATGGCTCAAATTTGCTGGATGCAGCTGAAAAGTTGATAAGCACATTTTTCTTATGTAGAACCATCAGTGGAGGAAGGACACAAGTTTTTTCAGCCCAAAAATGTGACACGATTCATAAAATTCCACGAAACTTGGTGTTAGATGTCACAACATCCCCCCCCTTGACCACATACCAGAAGACATATGGATATTTCCAACTTTTGTGGGCAAAATGCACATTGAGTGGTGAAGTTACCACACCGAATTATGGAATTGCCAAAAGACTGTGAAACTGTGTACAAAGTGGTGGAATAACAAAGCCGACAATGTAGCATCAGAGCGAGCGAGGATATAGCAACGGCGTGTACATCATTGTCTAATCCAGCAAACGCAGTGTACATATGACATCGTGCATGGGCAGGGTTTGCCCGTCACGTTTTTCTCACTTGCCAGCCGGACCAGCAGTGATGGCTTTTTACTAGTCCTTAAGCAGAATTTTCACTAGTCCGCGTCTTCCCCCAAATGTCAACATTCTTTTTGGCACTAGTGTTTTCTGCTCCAACATCATGCATAACAGTGTGCACTCGGTGCTGACTGTTGTTTAATTGTCGATGAGTAATCATAATGGCCATGGGAATTATGAATTTCTAGAGTATTCATGAGTACAACTCTACTCAAGCAAATTAAATATAAATTACAGATATGCCAGAAAATTGAAATAACTGTTTCTGTGAGGTGACATAATTCGCGGGGAGTGGTTTTGCTGAAGTCCCTACAATGTTCTCATTCAGCTACAGGCCCTGATGTAGAGTACGAACAACCTGGCCGGGATTACATGTACATTGCAAGGATGCGAACATTTTGATTTGGGTGTTCAGTGTACATTTACACCTGTCACCACCACAGTAAGAAGACAGGTAATGGTACTTTTTACGAGGGATTTAGATAATGGGTCCGTAAAGCATTTAAAGGATTAACCCCACCGCAAAGTTAATGAGGAAGGCCCCGTAGATGGGCTCACTGCATTTTCACGGTGTTTTCACCATGTGAACTGCCATGAAGTTGCAGTGAAAAAACAATTTCACAGTGAAACTGCAAATTAACTGCAAAATCATGGTGCTGAAATTCATAGTGCAAGGGTGTCATTCGACTGATACCTGAGTGTACTGCGTTCTTACATGCTTGGGTGAACCTACATAACGTTTGTCGTTACAGTTTGGATCTTAACCCTAACTCCCTAGGGAGTGTGCAAAATCATATTAAAATTGGAGGATTCAGGACTGTTAGGGTTAATAGTTTTCTCCTGAAACGTAAATAAGCATATTGTAATACTGGACGGTATTGCAGTCCAGACTACGTCAGTATCAGAACTGTATTGTCGTGTTGTAAGTGCATGTAATTTTCCATTATTATTTCCTGGTAGAGCTTCAAGTATACGATCGTTTGACCCGGACAATATAAATATCCAGAGAGAAAGAGGAACTTCAGTTGAAAATAGCCTTAGATGAACGATAACAACTAGCAAGCATAATTCTGTTTACGGAATTACCGCTAGAAGGTATTGGTGGGACATTATTGGGGGGGGTGCCATTTATCTTTCCGTCTCTCAAATATGTTTGGTAGGCTTGTTATCAAACCCTTCCCCCATCCCCTTTCCCTCCCTAGGATTATGTCAATATAACAGGCTGTTTAAGAGCCATGTCGTTCTTGCATTTAATCCACTATACCGGTTTATCACATAAGCAATTAAAACACCCGACATTTTATGGAGTATGACCCATGGACACGGAAACATTGATCTCAGTTGTTTGGATGAGAGCCTTTTGAACAAGAGAGATGTCATGTCCATGTATGGAATTGTGTGTTCCTCGGTGCAACGTCATGGTCGCAAGTACGGAGCGAGGAAAAGGTCCTCACTCCCAAGACATGCAGGCAGCTCGCAGGGGCGGGGGTGTTTCAGAATGATAAATTGTAGTGTTGAAATGTTGAAATTTTAGTTCCCAGTGGAATTTAAGTCGGGTTTTTGCTTTTACGTTGGGCTTTAATAGTTACGCACTGTACAGAAGGACAATAATTATATTCTAGTAATCTACTTAAATTTTTCGTATTCGTTTTATAGGCTTGACTTTTATACTTCCCTACTGAAGATCTCCATTTCCTTTGGCAATTTTTTGTTGTATTCATATGATTGCAATACGCCAGCGACCAACCTTTTCTCAGAATTTTTTCAAAGAGCAGATTTGGGGTTCAAAATTTGAACATGAAAACGTGCAAACTGAACCGTCTTCCTGGACGTATCACACTGAGAGCGACCTCACTTGTCTGAAAAAGCTTAATCAATATTGATTGTTCAAGAAAAAGCAGTTAAAGGGATTCTAAACAGATTTCACACAATAAAGAAGAAGGCAAGAGGCAAAACTGCATTGATCCTTAACATGGTGTTTGTCTGCTCTCTGTACCCTGCTGTAAATGTACGGTCTGTAAAGGAACCAATATGAAATAAAAGATGAAACAAACCAGTTTAATTCCAAAATATGAAACTCTGTTCCTTCGTGTATTGTAGCGAAAAAAGAGTGCTTCAACATACACATGACTATTCGTCTTGTACACATGGAGTGTCAAAGATGCGAAGGCACTGAAATATTTGTGGGGGCCATGTTCCCCCCCCCCCTGGTGGCTCCGGCACTGCTGGAATGGGAAACAAAAATGTAACAAACAGAGCACGGGTGGGGGACATGGGTAGAAACGCAGATAGTGTAGGGTATGAGTGTCGTGTGATTATATTTGGATCAAGAAATTGCCATTGTTTGCCATTATTTGGCTTTAGCTTATTATTAACGATAACTTTGTCTGGTGAACTGTATGTGTGGAGGTTTATTGTTCAACTTCCTACTTACAAGATTCTGCCGAGGCTGCGATAATGATCGTGGTAGGGACTACATTTAAGCACATGATAGCCTGAAAACTTCCGCATGTATAGGCCTATCACGAACGTTTGATGGGAGGGTTTCCAGGCACCATACGATTATCTTGAACTGGTAGACAGTCTTGACAATAGCCTTACAGAGCGATCCAGAGACAGGAAACATGACTAAATGAGGAACCATGCACCAAAAAGTAGGCGAAGACATGGGAACTTACCAACATTTGTGTGTCAGTTTAATATGACGCTGCAAATAAAAGACAAATGTTACCTCCACTGTGATGAAGAACCCGAGGGCAACCCCAGACTGGGAGGAGAGGGTAGATGTCACCATGGAACGCGATGTCTACATTTCTCAGACGCCTATCGGTAAAGGTACTCGATGAAACACTTGTAGAGAGTTTCAAAGAATATTCTCGAAAAGTTGTCGCACACATGCAGGTCGAAAAGGACCGTAAAGAATCGTCAGCTGGCTACCTGTTTCCGTTCTTACTAGAGTTTTCCCCGGCAACATGATGTGCACAATTTCATAGAGACTATAGATTTCATTTCCCGGAGCGTACAAAGCTTTATGGATAATATGTTTTAAGTGAAACTTAATACATTTTCCTCTGCTCGCGTGACAGCACAAGTATTGCGAAAAACACAACTGAAGGAGTATTTGACTGGTACCCAACTCTTATTATTGTAGCGTTCTCATATTGAATGTTCCTTTGAACCCAGGTAGTATTAATACT